AACTCCTGGGCTCAAGCGAGTCTCCTGCCTCAGCCTCCCAAGTAGCTGGGACCACAGGTGCCCGCCACAACGCCTGGCTATTTTTTGGTTGCAGCTTTCGTTGTTTGGCGGGTCCGGCTGTATACCCGCCACCTTAGGTATACATGGCTGGCGCCCTAGCCGGTCGAGCCACAGGCGCCGAGCCGGCAATTTCTTAAAACTGAGACAAAATGGAGAAAACTGATATACCACTAGTAATACCATTAACTAGATTTTCTAAAGTAATAAGATTATAAAAGGAATGAAGAGGAATAAATTTTAGAAAGGGAGGGAACCAAAATATTTGTACTTAGGAAAGGATCCACTAAAACCTTATTAGATGTTTTAAAGTAAATAGGGAATAAATACATAACAATAGCATTTGTAGATAAATGCAAAATAATGAAAGTTCTCATTTGGAATGACTAAATAGGGGCAAATGAGAGATGTTTTTGTTAGCTTTCTGGATTGTAAAAAAAAATGTTTTATTGGTAAGCATAAGAGATTTGTATTTATTCTTTCTTTTGAGATAGGATGTTGCTCTGAACAGTGCAGTGGCCTCATCGTAGTTCACTGCAGCCTCAAAATCCCAGGCTCAGGTGATCCTCCTTCCTTAGCCTCTTAAGTTAGCTTGGACTGCAGATGTGTACCACATGCCCAGCTAATTTTTTTTTTTTAGAGGCAGAGGCTCACTTTATTGCCCTTGGTAGAGTGCTGTGGCATCACAGCTCACAGCAACCTCCAAATCCTGGGCTTAGGCCATTCTCTTGCCTCAGCCTCTCGAGTAGCTGGGACTACAGGTGCCCGCCACAATGCCCAGCTATTTTTTTGTTGTTGCAGTTTGTCTGGGGCCAGGTTTGAACCTGCCACCCTCAGTATATAGGGCCGGCGCCCTACTCACTGAGCTACAGGCGCGGCCCCCAACTAATTTTTTGATGTTTTGTGGAGATGGGGTCTTGCTTTATTGCCCAGACTGGCATCTTGACCTTAATTACGCCTCCCACTTCAGCCTCCAAAAGTGTTAGGATTACAGGTGTGAGCTGCCATGCTTGGCCTGAGAGATTTTTGAATAATAGAGTTCTAAATGGCTAATGTAATGTTCTAAATCTAATGATTGTAAATGGGTCATAGTAATTTTGACTGCTTTTACAGTATAATTTTAGAGGATCATATTGATAGTCTCTAAATTTATTTATACTATAAAAACAGAGTTAAAAAAAAATTTTTAGGGCGGTGCCTGTGGCTCAGTGAATAGGGCACTGGCCCCATATACTGAGGGTGGCGAGTTTGAACCTGGCCCCAGCCAAACTGCAACAAAAAAATAGCCAGGTGTTGTGGCAGGCGCCTGTAGTCCCTGCTACTTGGGAGGCAGAGGCAAGAGACTCACTTGAGCCCAGAAGTTGGAGGTTGCTGTGAGTTGTGATGCCAAGGCACTCTACCCAGGGCAACAGCTTGAGGCTCTGTCTCCAAAAATAAATTAATTAATTAAATAAAATAAAAAACTGTGATAAAAATTGGTATGTGCTTTAATCCAGCATCTTCATTTCCAAAGGAAGTGATTTAAAAGAATAATAAAAGAGAAAAAATTTATTGGTGTGAAACTTTCTAAGTCCCACAGAGATTTCACATTTTAGCTTCAAGATCAGCCCCATGTCTGAGTGGTTGATTTGAACCCTTTCCTTTATTTTCAGTTAGCCTTTCAGCATTGAGTGATCCCTTTTACAAACACAAGTATGTTTACAGCATACTTGTTTTTTGCTGTGTTACCTACTCTTTATAATCTACTATTTTATACGAAGTTTTAAAGAATTGTAACCTAGGCCAGGCACAGTCGCTCATGCCTATATTCCTAGCACTCTGGGAGGCCAAGGTGGGTGGATTGCTGGAGCTCACGAGTTCGAGAGCAGCCTGAGCAAGTGCAAAACCCTGTCTCTAAAAAATAGCCAGGCACTGTAGCACTTGCCTATAGTCCCAGCTACTCAGGAGGCTGAGGCAAGAGGATCACTTGAGCCTGAGAGTCTCAGATTGCTGTGAGCTATGATGCTAGAGCACTCTACCCAGGGCAACAAAGTGAGACCTGTCTCAAAAATAAATACAAATAAAAATTATAACCTACAGAAAAGCCTACAGATAAGCATACAGCCCAGATCTTCACAAAGTGTACACACACATCTAACTACCACCCCAAATCAACTACCCCTGGCACCCTAGAAATCCTTCTTGTGCCTCCTACAGGGTCACTACTCACCTTCCTCCCCAAAGAAAAAACACTCTTGACTTTAATACCATAGTTTCATTTTATCAGATACGGTCTGATAAAATCTCTTTATGGTCAAAAAAAAAAAATTTTTTTTTTGAAACAGAGTCTCACTTTGGTGCCCTCAATAGGTGTCACAGCTCACAGTAACCTCCAACTCTTGGGCTTAAGTGATTCTCTTGCCTCAGCCTCCCAAGTAGCTGGGACTACAGGTGCTCGCCACAATGCCTGGCTATTTTTTGTTTGTAGTCATTATTGTTGTTTGGCAGGTCCAGCCTGGGCCCAAACCTGCCACCTTCGGTGTATGTGGCTGGCACCCTAGCCACTGAGCAACAAGCGCTTAGCCTGGTCAAATATTCTTTTGTGTGACTATGCTATGCCTTTAGTTTTGGTCATTTGAATTGTTTCTAGTTTTTCATTGTCTAGGATACCATACTATTATTGAATGATATAATATCATTAATATAGTGAAAACCTGTAAGCAGTGTGTTTTACCATTCAATTATTAGACTCCTAAAGACAGTGGCATCATGGTATCCTGTATGACTTATGTTTTTTAACCCCTAGTTCCTTAGCTTAGTGCTGTATACAGAGTACAGGTCAGTATGTGCTTGTTAGTAATTGGTGCCTATGGAGAAAGCAAACAGGTGAAATCTTTCAGTACATCCCTCTTTTTTTTTTTTAAAGTAAAAAGAGGATTGTGTTACTTGCATGGGGGATGGAAACATTTACCAGTTATGTATCCCACTTTCAATAAGTGTAAAAGAATGTTGATGATGGTGGTAGTCCAGTCCTCAGATTTCTGACTTTCAAGGTTATCATGTTATGAGAAATCTAAGTTGTTTTTTCCTGCCTGGTTTTGTCATGTTCCTCAAAATTTATTCTTTTTTTGTTTCAACAGTAAATGACACTAATCCTGGGGGTGATGATCTTCAGAAGGAATGTGTGGAGAATGAAGATAGTGGAGAAAAGTCTTTAGATTGTGATGAAATGGATTATTCCTTGATCTCTGAGCAACCTCCAGACTGCCAGGAAGAAGACAGACTGAACACATCTGTTTTAAAGAAAAGGAAAATGAGAAATCTTTTAGTTACCATTGAAAATGATACTCCACTAGAAGAACTCTCAAAATATGTGGATATCAATGTTATTGCACTTACTCGAAATCGGAGAACAAGGAGATGGTACACTTGTCCACTGTGTGGGAAGCAGTTTAATGAAAGTTCTTACCTTATTTCTCACCAGCGGACTCATACTGGAGAAAAACCCTATGACTGTAGTCACTGTGGGAAAAGCTTCAATCATAAAACAAACCTCAATAAACATGAGCGAATACATACAGGAGAGAAACCTTATTCCTGTTCTCAGTGTGGGAAAAACTTTCGTCAAAATTCTCATCGGAGTCGTCATGAAGGAATCCACATAAGGGAGAAGATATTTAAGTGTCCAGAATGTGGGAAAACCTTCCCCCAAAATGAAGAATTTGTGCTTCATCTGCAGAGTCATGAGGCTGAGAGGCCATATGGTTGCAAAAAATGTGGGAGAAGATTTGGTAGGTTGTCAAACTGTACCCGGCATGAGAAAACCCACTCAAAATGTAAGACTCGAAAGCAGAAGTGATGTTAGGAAAGGTCTTATGGTCCTATCTGAACCTGAAAAGTTCCATAAGGAATTCTGAATTCCCAGGCTGCCTAAAAAAAAAATACAGATATGTGAAAACCTCATTATAGTCAAAATTGGGTAAATACCAATCTTGGCCGAAACCTCAGACTATTAGAAAATTCACAGGGAAGGAAACATCTTCAAGGGCTATACCTCAGTTAGCATCTAGTCTTTTTGAACTAAGGAACTTTCCTTTGTGACATTGTATAAGAATGTACAAATCACAGATCCCTACCCCCAAGAAAGACTTTGAATACGAGTCTGGAGGCTGTTTACTTGCAAGGTGAACAGAGTGACTCTAATCTACTGAAAATATATCCATCTCCCCTCCCCCATGGGAATTCATACTTGAGAAATAATGCAAAGATCCTTACCTGGAACTGTGTTCTCCTGAAAGAACCAAACTACTGATTTGTTAAGCCAACAGCTTCTAATAGCAATTCATATATTCCTCTCAGAATACCCATTAAGTCTTGAGGGTTGAAAGGAATTGTTTACTTTGGAATATAGGAAAACTACAGCAATTGAATGTCTCACTTTTATTTGTATGTAGTCTAAACTAATGATCAATTTCAATAACATTTATAATTTGTGGTGAAAATGACTTTTACAGAAATTCTTTTTACAACATAATTTAAAGGTGTTTACTGTTCTTGCTATATTTGTTCACCTGTTAATCTCAAACAGCTGTCTCATGCCTCTCCTTGCTGAGAAGTTTGGTCCATCCAGCCCCACTACTAGAAAAGCTCTTCAGAATTTTGTTCCTCGACTAAGCCTGGATCTCACATGCTGGGAAGGAAACCTCAAGAGCTTGGAGAGGAGGGGCAGACCTGGAGACAAGAAAAAGTTGCTTGGATCCATGTCTGGTCAATGACCTTACCATATGTTTAAGTGCCCTCTACATAGTCATCAGACCCTTGAGAATGAGGTGGTCACTACCTCATAAGGCAAAGTGTTTTGTATTTACAAATTAAATTTCCAGTGGTTAGCTCACGTTGCCTTCAGAGACACAATGCCATGTGTCTTCATCATAGTGGACTTTTGTTAGTCTTTGGCCTCCTGATAACTCAGACCATCCTGTCTTCTCTGCCTAAAGGCCAGGCCAGCAGTGCCTTCATGGGACCAATCCTATGATATGACTTGGGGACTCTTGATTTGTTTTAGGTTTCCCAAAGTTTTACATTGGTATTTTGATTGAATGAGTTAATTCTGTAAACTATTTGGGAAATACTAACTTTGCAGATTTTGTTTCCATCTAGAAACATGCTTTTCCTTTTATTAGAGTATTATATTGCTAAGTGAATTTTTCTAATTATCACTTAAGTTCCAGACAATTTTGTTATCGTAAATAGCTTTTTCCATTATATTTTTCTAGTTATTGCTCTTAAATAGGAAAATTATTTTTAATTATATATTTGTATAACAAGCCACCTCATTGTATGTTCTTAATTTCTTGGTTTTGTTCTGTTTGTGGTAAAATTATATCATCCACAAATAATAGTTTTGGTGTTTTTTTCCTTCTGCCTATTGGTCTGTTTTGGGTTTTGGGTTTTTTAAGCATGTAATTCTAGAGTTTATTGGTTTGTTACAAACCATTCTGAAAGAAGGAAATTTTATGATACAATTCAGTCCTGAATAATAATTTAAAAACAACACTTAAAGGCCACAGAAAAACCATCCTTTAAGAACTTTGTATTTCAAGCCACTAGTACCAAAAAATCCAGGAGCAAAACTGGTTGCCAACAAGTTACTTTTTGCCAGCCACTAGATATGGACACTAGGACCAGTGCTAGGATTCTCAGGCAACATTATGCCAGGGTGGCTATAATGTTACCACATGCAGAGGACCCACCCATGCACCCAGAAAACAGGCAAAGCAGCCACTGGGCAGTGACTGGAGAAGGTTGGGGTCCTCAGGTGAGGAGCCCTGTCCCCTGCCCAAGGGTCAGGTGTTTGCCAATCTTTGTCTCCAAGGCCTGTTTTTTTGTTTTTTTTTTTGTTTGTTTTGTTCTGTTTTCCGTTTTGGCTGGGGTCAGGCTTGAAGCCATCACCCCTGGTATATGGGGCTGGCACCCTACTCCTTGAGCCACAGGCACCATCCCAAGGCCCATTTTTTAAAGTGTAGGTTGGTAATACTGCCACAACCAAAGCCCACCCCATGTGAGGAGGTACCCTGGGTCAAGGTAATAGCTAGTCTAACACCTACTGTCCCCAGAGGGCAGGCCAATGCTGCTGGATTTCTGCTCCCACTTGTCCTAGTTACATGGCAGGAGGGACTATGCCCAGGAGGAAGGATGGTCCAAGGGCCACTGCCTAACTCAAGAGCCCTTGGGAAGCTATTAGACAAGTAAGAGCATGGGGAGGGAAATAAAGATAAAACATTGAAAGGCAGGGCATGGTGGCTCACACCTGTACTGCTAACACTTGGCCAAGGGAGGTGGATTGCCTGAGCTCACAGGTTCTAGACGAGGTTCTCACTTTTTTGCCCTTTGTAGAGTGCCATGGAGTCATATCTCAGAGCAACATCAAACTCTTGGGCTCAAGCGATTCTCTTGGCTTAGCCTCCCAAGTACCAGGGATTACAGGAGCCCACCACAAAGCCTGGCTATTTTTGTTGTTGTTTTTTGTTTATTTAGCAGACCCAGGCCTGTTCAAACCCATCAGCCCTGGTGTATGTGGCCGGTGCCCTAACTACTGAATTATAGTTGCCAAGCCCAGTGGTCTCTTTTTTTATTTAAGAATATTATAGGAGCATAAATGTTTTGGTTACATAAATTGCTTTTGTACAGTTTGAGTCAAAGTTATGTGTGCCCATCACCCAGATAGTATGCACTGTGCTTCTAGATACAAATTTACTTATCCCCTCCTCCCTCCCACCTGCTTGACTTCCTATGAGTGTTACTTCCATGTGAGCACATGAGTGTACTATTCGCTCTTGAATCCATACCAGTTTCACCTCTAACACTTCAAGAACTGTTTTTGTCAAGGTCATCAACAATTTTCAATTTTCAATATTTCTTTTTTTGCAGTTTTTGTTTTTTTGGCCAGGGCTGGGTTTGACCCCACCACCTCTGGCATATGGGGCCAGCGCCCTACTCCTTTGAGCCACAGGCAGCACCCAAATTTCCAATATTTCAATAGTCTTAGGCCATCTGTCGTAGAGTTTGATATCACTGATCATTCCTTTTCCCCAAACAGTTTACGGGATACTACTCCGTCCTGGCATTTTGCCTTCTTCATTGGCTGTTCCTTCTTGGTCTGTATTGGGTTTTCCTCCTTTTCTTCCTAAAGGCTCTAAATCAGTGCCTCTCAACCTTGGCTGCCTATTCAAATCACCTGGAAGGCTTTTTTTTAAATCTTAAGGCCCAGAGCATGCCCTAGACCAGTAAAGTCAAAATCAGGCAGTAATATTTTTAAGGTTCTGTTAAGGAAAAAATTATTCGGTGATACTTGCCGAAGCATGGAAGGAAAAACTATTAGGATCATCACTATACCTACTGTGATGGGTGAGTCCTGCAGTGGGAGAGGAGATTAGGCTTAACTGTAAATAAAGTATGAGCAAGTGGGAATTTACAGCCAAGGAACAGGGTAAAAGAGACTCTGGCTAAACTGACCTAACAGGATTCCTGCTGAACACAGGCCAGGGTGATCAGATATCACTGTAAGTAGTGGTCACCAGCTTTTTTGGCACCAGAGACTGGTTTCATGGAAGAGAAGTTTTCCATGGGCCTGGGGGTGGGAGGTGGGATCTGAGAGGAGGTAGAGCTCAGGCAGTGATATAAGTGAGGGGGAGTGGCTATAAATACAGATCAAGTTTCACTCAATCATCCACTGCTCACTTCCTGCTGTGTGGCCCAGTTCCTAACAGGCTACTGCCTGGTACCAGTCCAAAGCCTGGGACCTGAAGACTTGGGGATGGTAAAGGATGAGAGACCTGATCAATTATCAAGGGTGGGGGATTTCTTTCTTTCTTTCTTTCTTTTTTTTTTTTTTTGAGACCAAGCCTCAAGCTATCCCCCTGGGTAGAGTTCTGTGGCATCACAGCTCACAGCAACCTCCAACTCCTGGGCTCAAGCGAGTCTCCTGCCTCAGCCTCCCAAGTA